CAGTTAAAGCACTTCCTATACATTTTTAGTCGTCTTAGTAAACTGTGTAATCATTTAATTAGAGTAGCATTTTTTATATCAAAATTGTGGTCAGTCTCACTACGGTGAGCAACTAATACGTTTCCAATCTAAATGAAATCGGCCAGGTTACATATCCAATATATATATATATAAAAAATTAAATTTCCCAGCGTCTGTCGTTCGTCCATATCCCTAGCCGCATCAACGTACAGTCGGCTATGATAATTTTTAGCCACCCTTGATTACAGAAATTTTGGCTTGTTTAATAACGTCTCTTCTTTTTTTTCAGACAACACTGTGTTAATATCAAGCTACTCTCATCTATGAACAATAGTTGACTTATATTTTGCAATAAAAGTTCGTGGAAGTAAGGAAATTAGTGAATTTCAACAAGGGCAAATAATAGGATGTCATCATTGTGGCAAGTCAAATAGAGAAATTGCTAAGTTTTTTCAGGTTAATCATCGAACGGTTAATAATATTGTCATGAAATTTAATGAAGATGGCCATTGACATGTGGAACAACGTTCAGGAAGACCCAGCATCGTGTCTGAGCGAACGAAAAGGGCACTGAATAGGGAAGCCATCAGAAACCGTTGTCAGAGCATCAAAGATGTCGCCAACAGCATGGAAATGCCGCCATATGCGGTGAGAAAGACTCTGAAAGAGCTAGGCTATGAAAGAAAAGTTGCAAGAAAGAAGCTTTTTATTTCAGAGGTAAACAAGAACCTTCGTATGGATTGGACGAGAGAATTCGAGAGCAAAGATTATGAATTTTGTCAGTTTGTAATTCGAGACTGGTTTGTGTTTGGAGAAATCAGAATGAGACTAGGAACACATAATGTCTGTAGGTGACCGTGAAACATGGAGGGATTAGAGTAATGGTGTGGGGTGCTGTCTGGTTTGAAGTAAAATCTGAGCTGATTCTTGTTGACGAGCGGTTAAATGGTCTAAAATACCTTCAAAATTAGAGAAAGGACTACTCCCACTATTTGAAACCAATCAGATTGACAAGAATGTTTATCTTTTTCAAGAAGATGGTATGCCATGTCATACAAACAAAGTAGCAAAGGCCTGGAAGGAATCGCAAGGAATCAAGTCAGTGCCATGGGTAGCCCAAAATCCATACATAAATCCAATAGAGCACGTTTGGGAGCACCTAGACCGAAAACTTCAAGAGCATGCAACCAAAATCACGTCAGAAACATTGATAAACGAGTGGCAAAATATGGATCAGACGATTGTTGATAACTTGATCAAATCCATGAAAAATCGAATACAAGCACTGAAACTAGCAGATGGAGGACTTACTCCATACTAGTTCCAAATACTGTTTGTTTGTTTTTTTTGTTTTGTTTTTTTTTTATATTGAATAGGGATTACGTAATTAAATTTTGTAGTTTATTTCTCTTGGCTAAAAAAAAAACTTCTCTTAGGCCTCTGTAAACATAAACTTAATCCGATGAAGCCCTAAAGAACGCAAAACCTCACAAGAAAACTTTTTTTTCCAAATTGTCATCTGATGCTTGAACATCCAGCACGGGGATCTGTGTCCGGATGAGGAGATAAAAACTCAAATTTTAAAATAAGTTTTAATTTATGATGAATCTAATGTATTATAAAACATTTGTGAATTTAAATTTTTTGTTTTAAGTTCAGTTTAAAATATCTCTAAAACTTTGTGAATTGGGGAAATTAATTTTATTTATTCAAAACACCAATGAATCAAAGTTAAAGTCAAAGGTTTTCTGACGTAAGGTTTTGAAGTTCTACTGAATTTGGGACTTGATGAACTCAAATCAGTTGAAGTTCCATGGAGTATGTTTGTTGAAGAACACAATTTTGGCTAAAATACCGATTTGGACCGGAAGTTGTTTCTTCAAAATTATTATTGCTGCTGTGGAGGCACAATTAACCCTCAGCAGAACCTACTTTAAATCCACACGGAGCTAGTATATATATATATATATATATATATATATATATATATATATATATATATATGTATAATTATTTCTCAAAATATTATTCCTTCGTTACATATAGATTCTCATGTTTCAAAACAGGGTTAAAAACTTCAATTTAAATATAAAACTTGAATTAAAGTATCAAGTTCTGTTTCATGTTCAAGCGAAACAAATCACTTGAAGATGAAACGGAGCATGATACAATTAAATTAAATTAAATTTTTATATTTAAATTGAAGTTTTTAGTGACTGTTTTGAAACATGAGAACTCTTATGTAGGGAAGGAATCCTATTTTTTAAAATAAATATAATTTAGGCTCTACTTTTGTATTGACCACTGTTTTTTTAAAAATAAAAATAAAAATATGAAAGAACTTCGGATTATTAACCTATCGTGTTCTTTCCTAATTTTCTATATATTTGCATATATATATATATATATATATATATATATATATATATATATATATATATATGTGTGTGTGTGTGTGTGTGTGTGTGTGTGTGTGTTTTATTAAAACTGATCCACAGAGAGCTCGATGATTTTTTTATTATTTTAAGAGAGCATATGCATTTTTACAGCAAAAAAAAAATTAACTCAACATCGGGATAGACTATTTCAAACAGTCCCTTAACGGCTTTCGTCAGCCCCTAAGTATTTGTCATCGGAGCCCTTATTTATGTATTTTTCAGAGCTAGTCTCTGGTAGGTACCTTGTTAATGAGCGTGCATTTATGTTAGCGATTGGTGGGGGCGTAAGGTATCTTATCGCATATGTGATCGGGTTCTGCAACATTTCTTTATGGCCGTTGAGGACTGGCCTGTGCATCTAGGGATGGTGGGATGGGAAACCTTTAGAAAATCGCGCCAGCCTGAAGTCTGGCATACCCGGACCAGTATATAATCTTCCGGCCCATTCATGGATCACTTACAGTCGCCTGTTTCATGTTGGATGTAAAAAACATTACAAAGGGTATAAAAATGGACAGACAATCTGGTAATGATGACTGTGAGATCCAGAGGGAATGTGATGGCTGCAAAAGTGTCTTGAAGTCAGTGAAGGGTCACAAGATACAGTAGACCAAGATGAAGTGTGGCGGTGATTCAGTGGTAAAGAATCGCAAGGCAGTAGTCGTTAAGTCATCGGAGTATCGGGACCAGGAGGAACACCACAGTGTCCTGCAGGATTCTTTTTTCGAAGCCAAATCTAGTCACCGAATTATCAAGTGGCCTTCCTCTCTGGATAAAGCCTGGTCAGAGATGGATGAAGACTTATCAGCAACCATCCAGACACTCAGGGGTGGTCCAGAAAAGAAAGTCCGCCAGCTGGGGGAGATGATCAATTACTATAGGATCAATAAGTTTGGGTTAAAGGAAATGAAAGCTAAGTCCTTAGCTTCAGTGCAGGTAAGTTGACGGTGGAGAACCATCCGGTCATTGAAGAAAGAGATGCGAAGGTTACGAGCATCAATGCGGGCTGATGAGCAAGCCAACCCTGGAAGACATAAGGAATCGCATTAGCAAGTTAAATATAGCGGAACGGCTTGCCAAAATGAGACAGAATGCTGACAAGACCTGGATGTTATTCACGGAAAGTCCGTTCCGCTTCACGAATCAATTGTTTAGGGAGAAGACTAGCGGAGCGTTGAGCACGAGGATCTGGAGAGACACCTTATGAGCATGTAATTTGATGCCAGCAGGGAGATTTCAGTGGAGGTGATACCAGGTTTATTCAAGCCAGTCGTCCCGGAATTAGTCTGCAGTGACTGGGAAGGAAGTCCAAGGAGTTACACGGAAGTCGTGAGCGTGTTCTGCGGGTGGTCCTAATTGTGTAAATATGCTATCTACAAGATGTGTCCCAGGCTGATGAGGTGTTTGTGGAGGCTTCTTGTGAAGATTTGGGAAGTTGTTGTTCCGGGCTGTTGGTGTCGAAGGAGGGAATTTATACACACTTAGTCAGTTTCACCCAATATCTCTCGTGAACATTTGAAGGAAAGGTTTTCTTTAAGGTGTTTACCAAGAGGATGACGGGCTACCTGTTTGGGAATAACTATATAGACACTCAAAAGGCAGGGGTCCCGGGATTTTCGAGGTGCTTGGAACATGATTTGGGCGAAGATCTGCGAGGCTAAAATTGAAAGGGAGAATATTCACATCATCTGGCTGGATCTTACTAATGCATATGGTTCAGTTACGCATAACATGATACAGCTGGCGTTGGAGTTCTACGTTTCCGCAGATACTCTAAGATTGTCTATGTACTTCAATCAGTTCATGCTGCGTTTTCAACGATGAAGTACACTATAAGATATGCAAGGCTGCAGAGGGGAATTGCGATGAGATGTGCTATCTCTCCAGTACTGTTTGTGATGGTAATGGAGATCACCTTGAGAGGTCTGATGCAAGCGAATGAGGTCAAAATCCGGGAATATATGGATGATTTAACGATAATTCAAGATGATAGGAAAGTAGCACAGTTGGTTCTGGATAGACTTGCAGGGTTAATAGAGTGGAGTCAGATGGCCTTCAAACCAAGGAAATGAAGGTCACTGTCTATGAAGGGAGGTTCTGTCATACATGAAGTGTTTTCCATCGCAGGTGAAAAGATACCAACAGTGCGGGAGCAAAGTATGAAGAGTTTTGGAAGGTGGTATAACTTTCCTATGACAGATCGTCAGCGTGGGATTGAAATCCAGCGACAAGAGGAGGTGAGTCTGCGGAGAATAGATCAATGTGGGCTTTCAGAGAAATTTAAAGTTTGGTGTATGCATTTTGGATTGATGCCTAGATTAATGTGACCGCTGACTATATATGAGGTGGCACTGTCTAGAGTGGAGATAATTGAGAGGAAAATCATTAAATGCATACGAAAGTGGCTTGGTGTTGCAAGGATTCTGTCGCCGGTCGCTTTGTAGGGCGGTTCGGTGGGGGGGGGCTTCAGTTACCTTTTACTTCTTTGGTGGAGGAGTACAAGGTTGGCAAAGGTGAGATTGCAGTCCATGCTGTGTGAATCTAGATATGCTGTAATCCGGGAAAATGCACCGGAAGTGTAGACAGGAAGAAAGTGTCAGACGTGATGTCAGCATTGGAAGTGGCGGTAAAGCAGGCAGAGACGTTCAGGGTGTTACAAGGAATGGACGTGCTGGACTTGTCTAGTTGAGAGAGAGAGAGAGAGAGAGAGAGAGAGAGAGAGAGATTCTTGTCAGAGTCTAGTAGACAGGAACAGGGTGTCCGGAAGCTCGAGGAGGAGACACGTTCAGTGCGGATTGTCCAGCAAGCTCAGCAGGGTCGATGGCTCAACTGGGAAGGCATTGAGGGTGTTCAGATCAGTTGGTCTGACTGGTGGCGTCTCTGCGCATGAGATTTGAGATTCCTCGTACAATGTGGCAAATTTGAAGAGATGGGGAAGCAGGAGTCACCCTCTTGTCGGTTTTGTGGCGCCACACACTGTCACCCTGCCGAAGGAATGGTGTACCTTCAGACATAACTTGGTTCAGCAGGTCGTGGCAGCAGCTGCGTGAAGTGCTAATAGACCCTCGACGGATCTGCGAAGGATTGCCTTCCTGAAGTAAGGTGTGACTTACACAAGGTAGAAGACCAGATCGGCAGACTCAAGGAAGTGGAGAGTATTGGCTGATGCTACACTGCCAGTGGAGGTTATTGCGTCTGGAATGAGGCCAGATCTAGTGATAAGTGATATCGAGAAGCAACATCTGGCGACAGTGGCTTGGGAAGAAAGGATTGAAGAAGCCCATGAAAGAAGGTTGCTTTGGTATGAGGAACTGGTGGCTGATGTCCGTGAAAGAGGATACGGCTGCATCCTGATGCTGTTTGAGATTGGCTGTAGAGGATTTCCTGCTGCTTCCTTAAAGAGATTCCTCAAGTGTTCTGGTATCAAAAAGCCGAATAAGGTAATAAAGACTTGTGGCGAGAAAGCGTTGGAAGGCAGTTTATGGATTACCCAGAAATCCTTATCGAGTCGCATCCAACAAACATAGACCGGTTCCAACGTAACATCATTCAGCTGTTGCGGGTCCACCGTGTGGAGAGGGACTGAGTTTAATGGGTCAAAACTTTGCTAAAGCACGGTGCTCAGCTGAAGATTGCAGCTGGTCTGAAGCACTTGATGTGTACATGTGTTCTATATATATCGCATTTGGGGATACCCATCAACTAGGACGGATAACCAATTACTATTTTAGACGCTCGCTTAAGCACATTTGGGTTTGTTCAACACCCACAGAACCCACCTACTGCAACTATGCTGAGCAGGCCTTAGTTACAGTTTCTGGGAGATAGCATGTTATCTACCGTTATCAACAATTTGACACAAGGCCAGCATGTTCAAGCGCTCGTTGCAAATCATTAAGAACTACAAGAAGAGGTAAGAGGTTGTTTGCTGTAGACATGAATAATGGCTATTCTACAAAGTATTAAATGAAGATTATATATTCTTCTTTTTGTAAGAATATTTTTCACTCATTAAAATGAATAAATGGGATATATTTCTATTAAATCAATTTTCTTTTGTTTTCTATTCTTATTTAGTTATTATTCATCTGTGTATAGTTACTTATATGAAAAGTATATTTATTCATTAGTTGGAAATACAATAAATGGAAAATTTGTATGTGTATTTGTATATTTGTTTCCCCCAGTACAGGGTGTTGCTACAAAATCCGTCACTTGACAAACAGAAAACGAAATAGGCAATAAAAACAAAAGTTGTATATGCAGAGACCCGAGTTACATACTACATTATTTTTCAATGTCACCGCCGGCGGCGACGGCCATCTCAAGGCCGGCGGGAAATGCGTCACACACTTTGGCGACCTATAACGGCAAACGCCTCCACGATGGCAGCTTTCTGAGAGTCGAACGTATTTTGGGTTGTGTTTGTTGGTTTTGGCCTCGATCACGCCTCAGAAGAAATAGTCATGGGGGTTGAAGTCGGGTGAATAATTCGGCCACAAGTCCAGCGACCAGTGGTGAGGAATATTGTTGAGCAGACACGCCTGGGTGGTCTTGGCCTGCTGGAAAATGTAGAGATGTCCGGCGACGATCTCGTCCATCCAGGGCTTCACCACGATCCTCAGCACCTCCTGGTAGATCTCAGCGGTAATTGAAAGAAGAACAGATGCATGATGTCCCCTCCCTGAAGATGACGCCAAGGACCATGACGCAGGAGGGAAACTGATATACCATAATACCTATTCTATTGCAATAGACGCTCCCACAGATAAGTAGTAGTAGCAGTGGCCAGTTGGGCTCAGTGGTGTTGAGCGAGTCACTCGATATCGGACATTGAAGTACCAACCATCACAACTAGATTGCTGCGTCATTAACTCTTATTTCAAGTTCCTAACGTTTTGTACATCGAACCTAATTTAGGACGATTTATTGAAATACAAGCCTCCACTGTGAAAACTACTCTACAACAGAAACTTCGTTTGCTTCACGACGGTAACCTCCTCGATGTCTTTGCAGATCCAGCTGTCGTTCTGCCTGTTGCTTGTCTGGTCCTGGATGAAATTCTTTTCATCAGAGAAGAACCTAAGCTTCCCGGCGGATCCGTGCGTGAGCTCGTGCAGCAAAGCTGCCGTCTTGACGCTCCTCGACTTCTTGGAGGCATTCTTGATGAGCATGCGATGAGACTTTTTGTAGGAGAAGTAACCATTGTCCTTCTTGATCGTTCGGCAGACCGTCGACTTGTGACAGCCAATGTCAGCGGCGATCTTGGCGTAGCTCTGGCTTCCATCATTGTCGACTTTCTCCTTGACAGCGGCGACGAACTCGTCGGTCCTAAAGGTTTGGCAGGAAACTCGTCCTTGTTCTCACACGCCTTCCACTTCCTCCAAATGTCCATGACCATGTTCCTCTTGAACCCAAACCAGGGCATCACTTCCGCAGGCTTCTTCCCGGCGCGAAAAGTAGCTACTACCGCTGCTCTGCGCTCATATTCCATCCCGGAAAAGAGAAGAGAGAAAAACTTTAGTTAGTTGACAAACTGTCGGGTATCTGCATATACAACTTTAGTTTTTATTGCCAATTTCATTTTCTTTTTGTCAAGTGTCGGATTTTGTTGCAACACCCTAAGAGCTCTCGTATCGGCTAAAATCTTCTTTGGAATAATGTCTATCAATTACAATTTGGTATTATCTCTTTCTCTTTCTCTCTCTCTCTCTCTCTCTATATATATATATATATATATATATATACACATGTGTATTTAGGTAGCAATCCCTGTTTTACACATGTTTAATTAAAGACGACTGACAAAGTACTACGATTAACCTGTTTTCTTGTTTTCGTACAAGTGATTTTATTTCTGCACACAGTGTGTAATATATATATATATATATATATATATATATATATAATTTATTCCATACACACCAATTCTGTACTTGATATATACATATATATATATATATATATATATATATGTGTGTGTGTGTGTGTGTGTGTGTGTGTGTGTGTGTGTGTGTGTGTGTGAATATGAATTTAAATAGTGTACGTTGATGTTCACTCCTGAGAAGAGTTAGGTGAAAATAGTTCTGACTCTAGTTTTGCCGTCAAAATAAGTTGACATTTATTTGAGTAGGTTACAAAGGTTAAACGTGCTGCAGTCAGGCGCGGTCTTCGGAAAGGGGGCGGGTCCCCGTTTGATAATACAAAGAGATGGAAATATGAAATGTGTTGTCGAATCTTCCTTTCGAATGTTGGGTACACATCAGTGAAGCCAAGTCTCTTGAGAATACGCAGAAACAGGCCGCATATGTTAATTTCTTTTCTCAAATTCCAGAAGGTAACACCTGTGTTGTCTGCAACAAAGTTTCCAAAGTCAGAATTTGGATTAAAAAGACATGTTGTTGGTACCAGAGGAATATTCCTCCAAGTGATTTGATGGCGACGAAGAAGTCGAGCTTCATGTGTCATGTTTACTAGAAGATTGGTCAATCACTTACTGGTCTCAAGAGACTTTTCAGGGCAAGAAAAGGAAGATAATGGCACATCGGGGATCAATGGATTGTCTAATCATCTGACAAGGAAGAGTAATCATTATGTATGCGTAGAGTAGTAATGGTGAGCGGCTCGGATAAAGTAATCGATGAGCCAAGTTCGAATTCCAGCCAAGTTAATTAGATTTACTTCCGTGCCAATAACCTTGGGAAAGGTATAGATCCATCCACCCCCCAGCTATGGATAAATAACACGACAGACTGGATACTATAGCCTTAGATGGCAACCAGTCTAGAAGGAAAAACTCTGAATTCAAAACAAGCCTGAGGAAGTGATACCGCTACGACCTTGAGGGTTTCGGGTTTTAAAAAAATGTATTTATGCTTGTGACCGAGTGGTGATAACGTTCGCATTCTGACTATGAAGCTAGAGATCGAATCTCACCATGGTCGATTGAGCAGGAAAGTAATTTCTTCATGTTATCGGTCTTGAAGTATGCGGCAATCTACCCTAGCATGAAGTCAACGGCCAGAAGCATTAAGCGCACTTTAATCATTTCACCCCAATCAAGGCGATAAAGCTACTAAGACGCAAAAGGCACATTGTTTTAATTTTAATTCGCATTTCGTTGTATTTCTTTCATTTTTTATCTTCCCCATTTTTTATAGTTTCTTTTCCGTCCTCTTCTTATTTATAGTATTCAGTGACCCTCTACATTGAGTGGCTCTTCTTCTTTTAAGTTCGGTGTCCCTTCAGGACGATGGTGATCATGACTCTCCACAATTTTCTATCCTTTGTAGTTCTTAATATTCGCTCAAGCTCGCCAGGTATGTTGTGCTTTTCTTTCCTCTATCTGTTTACTCCTCTGAGTATCAAATTTCAAAGCCTTCTTTCTTCATTATATGCCCTAAATTTTGAACTGTCTGTTTCTGATGTTAAATATAAAAATCCTTTTTGCTGCAACTGTCTCTCGAACTTCGTTGTTGATCACATGTTCGGTCCATGATATTCTAAGCATCCTTAGTAGAGCCACATTTATGTTGATTCAAGTCTCTTTTCATCTTTAAGCAGATTGTTTTACAATTCACTACCATATAGTAGGACTGGTATTACATAATGTATTCTTTTTAATCCCTTTACACCAATAAAATATCACCTCCGGTCAGTTTTCAAGTTTTTAAAAAATGACATTTACATTTGTAGGATTAGTAGACATGACGTTTGTAGTATTAATTCTGTATTTTCTTTTGTTTCTTAATAAGAGGATCCATTCGGAGGCATCGTACCTTCTCGTTGAATTAAATCCTTTTCTCTATTCTGTGATATCTGTTAATTTTTCAATTTTCTATTAAGAAAATTACGGCGGAGTAGAGGATTGCGGACTGAGGAATCGAAGAGCCGAGTTCGAATTCCAGTCGAATCCATGACATTCACTTACGTGTTAATACCCTTGGGAAAGGTATGAATACTCTTCTAGATTTTCCCGGAGGAGTAATGGATAGAGGCTCGGATTGAGGAATCGGAGAGCTGAGTTCGAATTCCAGTCGAATCCATTACATTCACTGATGTGCTAATACCCTTGGGAAAGGTATGAACCCTCTTCTAGATTTTTCCGGAGGAGTAATGGATAGCGGCTTGGATTGAGGAATCGGAGAGCCGAGTTCAAATTCCAGTCGAATCCATTACATTCACTTACGTGCTAATACCCTTGCGAAAGGTATGAATCATCATCATCTCGCCCCGCCCCAGCTATGGGTAAATAGAAAGACGGAAATGGATCTATAGCACTATATGGCAACTGTTGTACCGCAGAAAGAAATGGCAACCTACTGCTGGAAAAAATCTGCGTCGTCAGTCATGTATCGAAATATATATGATAGCCTAAGCGTGTTTCACGCATAGCACATAACTGACTGAATACTTTTCTCAGCTTTTGGCAGGTATATTTTGCTTTCCCAATGACACTTCACACTTTCTGGTCTCTGTTAATACGCTTCACAGATATCTCAATTCTTGCACCTGTTTGATTTAGGTATTTGTAATTTTGTCTTGCAGATTAATCTTTAGTCCTTTCTTCTCGCTTTCCTTCGCGACATCCTGTTAAGTTGCTATGTTGTTAAGATTGTGACCGCCAAAAATAAATGTTGGTAGATCTTCTGATTCTCTCGGAAGCGCCTCACTGTTTAATAAGTCCGGCGAGAAGACACATCCTTGTCGTACATCCCTTTTTATTTTTTTGTATATACTAAATTCATTTTCTCTCCGTATGTAGACAGTTCGCTGCTAGTATAGGTTCTGGATTATTTATTATCTTGTGTCTATGAGGCTCGTTTCCAAAGAAAGAAGAGTCATGGCTGAACCATTTTGTAAAATAAGCAATAAAAATACTATAGCACCTACATTGATGACAGTCACGTAATCATAAGAAGCTAACCAGTAAAAAAAGAAGCAGATAAAACCAGAAAAATAACCTTAACCATTTTCATAAATAAGTGATTCAAAATAGTCATAAAAACTAACAGAAAAAAAATATATTTCTAAGGTATCGCATTCAATCTGGGAAATGGGATTTATCAACCATATAGAAAGCCCAATGGCAAACTACAATCAATTAACCACGGGTTTTCCGACATGTCTTCTAGTGAAACCATCTTTAATGAAGCCAAGAAAGATAATGAAACAGCTCTAAAAGATAGCACATTTTTGCCCAAACTCACATAAACACCACCCATCAGAAAAAAAACAGAAAATGAAACGTCAACCATCCGTACAGAAAACATAAAAACAAACGTAGGAAAAATATTCATTATGCTGATACCCAGTCACCACTCCCCATCAGAAACCCTCCAAAAGGTATTCAACAAAAACACAGTAAAATCAGTTACAGTTACACATAGAAAATGACATAAATAATTAAAAAAAAAGGACAACAGTAAAACACCCAACAAACCACAGCACTAATCAAACCCACGTGTAACTGCAGAGCAAAGAACGAATGTCCCCTCAACGGCAATTGCTTGAAAAACAACGTAATATACCAAGCCACTGTAAAATCAGCAGATAACAATTAGCATGAGGTTTTGAGTGTGCTGGTGTTGATCATTCCAGATAACATGCTCTCACTCTCTCTCTCCCAGAAACTGTAACTAAGGTCTGCTTAGCATAGTTGCGCTATAAAGCACAGATTGGCTCTGTGTGTGTTGAACAAATATGTGCCTGAGTGAGAGTCTGCAATAGGGATTGGCTAGTGAACACGTTTCCTCGAATATGAGTGGCCTTTATCATTATATATATATATTGCAGCCCCGTATATGGGCTAGAATATACATACATATATATATATATATATATATATATATATATATATATATATATATATAGGTTTATATATATATATATATATATATATATATATATATATATATATATATATATATATATATATATAATGACCTAGCCCATATACGGGGACTGCAAAAAATCTTACCAGGAGCAAGTAGGGATTTCTGCGCTTTTGTCATTTAGTCAAATCTTGAGAAATGATTTGGTCTAAGAATTTTCAATGCTTCCTTGTACATCTCATTCAGTTATTTCACTATGATTCAATCTTTCTATCTCTTTCTCTCTCTCGTCTTTTTTTGTTTTTTGGTTTTTTTTCCTTTACGTCTCATATTTCATTAATTCGATAACCCTCGAGTATTCGGGTCAAAAATATTTCTCTTCAATACGAACATCCGACCTCGGCTTCCGTCTTTCAAATTCGCACGTCATCGCTCAGAGAAGTAAATACACATTTCGACAAACTAAAAATGTAGTGTGCACCTAAATGATCGTATAAAAGAAAGAGTTATATAAAATTTTTCTTACATAAACTAAAAGATTTCAGATCTTTACTACCTACTTATATTTATACTTAATATACTCTAGACACTACCTAGTGCATTTGCATACTTTCAATGCTTGCATCGCATATATATGTATATATATATATATATATATATATATATATATATATATATATATATATATAT